TTACATGAGTAAAAGTGATTTTTGAATATTATCGACAGTCATTTTCTTACACATCCCTTGCAGTTACATTGTACAATTCCTAAGTTGACGAATTTTAAATAAATGTGTCAGAATATGATACAATAAAACAACTCTGAGTCACCCTAGCGTTTATTAGTGTTCTGTTTTTGACATATGAGAAAACTTGACTATTTCTTAATTCAAGATACAGTAACATAATACTCCATGATACGTGGATTGGCAAATAAACACCATATTTTTAATTTCGCTATGTTCGCGTTTTAGCCTTTTTCCGCGAAATTAAACCCATCGTGAATGTTATTATTAGTTTTAAAAAAATTAAATGCTTATATATTCTGAATTGATTTCTTGCAGCGTAAAATTAAACTATCGTAACTGGTACTTTTTGAGACATCGTGAAATTTTAACACTGTGGAATTAAAACGGCTTACAGTAGTCTGATGATTTTATTTCAATCTTAACAGGGGAATCAATGTCTTGAAAAGATTCTTATTTTATTGCATGCTTTAGCATTGCTCTTTGAACAGAATAAGATAGACATTGGTTTTATTGAATGTTTGAAATTTGGCTGCTTCTATCACATTGTAGGATATGGGTTTATTTGTTGCCCATTGCTTACGATCGAGTTATAATCTTCAACATAATCTTATCACAAAGGCCGAGATCAATGGTCTATGAAACAGTGTTCAAACTTATAATTGAATTAATGAAGCTTGATTGGAAAGTTGTCATGACTTGACTCGGTGTCATCTAATGAAAAGAAAACATTTCTGGGTAATAAGAATTTCAAATGGTATTTTGGTTATTTCAACTGATTTTAAAGGCGGAATGAAATCAGACTTTTAGAATATAATACTACATATCTTTTGTTGCTGATGATTATGTCATTACTTAAAGATATGGGTCTCGTAATTCAAGCCTCAGAATTTAGCATATACATGTAATACTACATATCTTTTGTTGTTGATAATTATGTCTTTACTTAAGATATGAGTTTTGTAATTCAAGACCCAAAATATAGCAATTTGATTGAAATTCTTAGCTTTTTCAATTTTATCTTTATAAAGAAAGTTGAATACTTAATCTGGACCACAATATCAAGTACCACTGAAATCTATTATATATTCGTTTGTAGGAATTATATCACATCAGATTGAATAAAAGGACAGGGCACTTTATCCGTGTCAGAAAGCATTCTCAGTTTGACCACATAATCAAATAAATCTGGTGAAAGTCCAGTTTGAATCATTCGGACGACTTTAGGTAATAAGTCGTAGAACATGCTTTCAAGTATTTTTTGTTTGCTTGGCACTACAGACAGTCTGTTTTGTCGATGCTAGCGACAGGTATCAGGAAGTCCCTCAAAGACTCTCAACCTTAGAAGAGGAAGTCTCTTTTCTGAAAGAAAAGTTAAAATCATGACATGGAGTTAAGCAAATCTCTAATGTTATTGACCAAAGCAGTGAGTATAAAATAGGTTAAATGGATATGTTTATTATGTTCGAAGAATAAGTACTTTGCATAATGACGGAAATTAAGCTTACTATTTTTATTTTAGTATCTTTAGTAAAATTGGTAAATTTATAGGAAACTTAAAATACGTATAAAGCCCACTTACTCAAATGACTTACTGGATAGCAGAATGTAAATGTATATTTATTCATTTGTAGCAAGAAGAAACCATTCAGTAAAAACTAATACATTATTGACAAGATATAATATAGGTTTATTTTTTGGTTTCTATAGTGTGGTGCAAAATACTTAAAACATACATATACTATTTTAGTGGAAAAAAAGGACTGTGCCTCAAGGACAACTGTCTCAAGTCGCCTTCCACGCCAATCTTTCGAAGAACCAATACAATCTAGGAATACACCAAGCCATCCACTTCAATAAAGTTCTTCTAAACGAAGGCAGCGGCTATTCGGCCCATGCTGGGGAGTTTGTCGCACCGGTACCTGGTCTGTATGTGTTTTCTTGGTCCATTGCAAGCGGGGACCGCACTTGTATGAAATATGAATTCGTTCAGAACAGTGAGGTCTTTACATATTCTATAAGTGATGCGCATGAACATGATGACTGGGCCGTTTCGTCTGGAACTGCTGTCACACATATGAACTCAGGAGACCGTGCCTTGATAAGAACCTCTGATTTGGTTCCGTGTTCTCACACCGTGTTTGGCACTGGTTTTGGTACTTCGTCTTTTACCGGGTTCTTGTTAAATTAAAATGCGTACAAGTTTACAGATGATATGAATTATTTGTTTAACCATGAATAAAAATTGTTTCAGCGCATTTGTTCTACATGTGCAGTGATATCCACATCGAACAAGATATTTTTAACAATTTCTACAAATGATGACCATGTTAAAATTCATGCAGTAATTAAGATGATTTTTTTTTCGATTTTCTTTAATTAGGGAACTTATCAGTTCGACTGGAATCAATTGTTTTAAACTTAAAATAACTCTTGTAGAATCGCCTACATCATAAATAGTTAAATACCTGGTACAGGTCATGCATTCCCTGTTCTCAGTATTTCTTTAAAAATAAAACAAGCAGTAAAATCATAGTCAAATAAAACTTTGAAAAGGCACCGTCGCTCGCATGACGCAGTGGTAAGTAACTTTTGCTCTAGAGTCGTGAGGTGAAGAGCTGATCCTTACATCGGCGATTCGAATCCACTGCTGGGACGTAGAGACCAGCTCTTAAACATAAAATCTGAGGTCCCGTGTAGCAGTAGATGTTGGCACGAAGAAAATCCCCAATTGCCTAATGACCTTAAGAACCGTATATAGGTACAAGTTTGCAGACCTCCACCAGCAAGTTGGTGGAGTCTTCTCTATATAATTGTTAGTATTCGTGTTCATTCTTCACCTCTAGTTCTGTTGGACACGCCATAACTGCTGATTTGAATACTAGTACGTTACAGTAATGAGGACCTTAAAACACTTTAAAGGGACCCCGATTTATCAACTTGCATCAACTAGAGCAACCTCAAATCTTATTTAAATTTAGTCTCTCGGTTGATTCGATACGTAAGAATATGCTCTGATTCAATCATTTTCTAAAACGAGCGAAAGGTATTTTTTTCAACAAGTTGATGAAACAGGAATATCAACAATTTCGGTTAAGGTCATCATTTTGCAAGTTCTATAGGCGAGACAATTAACTTGTCAGGAAATACAACCAGTCAATGAGACGAATGCTTTCATAACAGTTGTGAGACCATTATTTACACAATTTTCTACGGATTTTCCGTTTTCATGATGGGAACAAGGAACACACAGAGGGTGTGATCGATTGAGAGGGGATAATTGTTCTTCCATGGCACCTGATTCCACGTCTAATGTTTTAGAAATCCGTGTTTGCTCTGCTTCTGACTTGCATTGTTGCAATGACTTCTGAGCTTGAATTCTGTTCATATATGTATCTCTTTATTCCATCGATTACAACCCAAATGGTTCAGATAATTATCTTAAATAAAATGCTCTATAAAATTTCCTTCTGCAAAATCTGTTTTGTATATGAATACAATTCCTTTGTTATTATTTTATATCGATCACATTTCTTCACCTATCATGAATAATTTGATTCTTATGAGCGTATTCACCCTGCAGTATAGATTTTCTAAATCTAATCTGAAAATGTTTAATTTCCATTAAATGATATGCGCATCATTTTGTTTCAGTTGACACGTATCAATGTGGTTTTAGCAAAATTCACAATAATTCAATGTATGCAGAATAAAGACGTATAATTAACTAACCCCTAAATGACAATGTCAAATCGATTGTTTTAAAATGTTTTGTTTGCAACTCATTATTATTTGAAGTATACATAGTTTTTATATTTACGCTATATTTTTGAGAGGTTTTGAATATTGAATGAGTGAAAAAAAGTTGATGGAAGTAAGTATGTAATTTTAAAATTATATTTCAATAAGATGGAGAATGCTTTTTTGTAGGACTTTACATTACATGTTTTTATACTTTATTTAATTCAAAGACATAATCAAAGATGCTTTTTGAGCTTTGTCACTGACATCAAACGAAATAAATCTTTCATACTGCCTTTTAAACAGTTATTTAGTCGATGAAAAAAAATCTTAAATAAAATTATTTCCTATGAAAAATAAATCTTTCATGAAAAGTTATTCTTCATTATTAATTTGACTAACTTTTTTCAGTTTTAAGCCCCTGAAATAATTACGAAAAGATTAAAACTGGTATGTATAATTTCAAAAAGATAATGTATATATTATGTAATACAAGAAACAAATGAATTAAATTATATCCCTATTCTCCAGGACCAACTGAAGAATAAATACATCGTATTGATCTTATGGCTCCAGCTTCTGGATATATGTTTTGGTAAGTATCTTTTTCATTATACAATGCCGGGTTGAACGGAACAGTTTTTTTTCAATTTCTTCATCTGATGAATATAAATTCCTTAGATATCTTTCTGTAGTTTAAACCTATTTTGTCGTGCGAAATTATGATTTTTAGATATCTTAATCACACTCTCAATGATTAATCAATAATTGTTACTTAGTCAATGAGAAAATTTTAATTTTTGAAAAGAATTAAGGTAAATAATAGCTAATAATTTTATAAAGGATGAATGTTGTTAATTTTTATTTGGTGTAGAGATTAAATTTCCGTGACGTCAGCTGATGGCGATCGGGCCTTGGGACGAAATTCGAAGTTTGCTTGAATTTTAGTTGTAAGCATTATAAACGCGTTGGATTTAAACTTTAGGAAGAAATATATCAGCGAGAAATATCATATTTGAACCCAATGCTACACGCAAACCGGTAGGCATATCCAATTTATGTGTTAAATTCAAGCCTGAATCGAGGAAGGGGTCAAAATGGCGTTGCACACCTTGTGTATTTATATATAGAGGGGATAGAATTTTTCGATATTTGGCTTAATTAGCGACTTATTGATAAAAATTCAGGTGCCTGTGTACGTACTCACACTGTCGACAAATATGTGCAACAAACGAAGATTGTTTTGCTTTCGTACATAACAACAACACAGATTTTTGTGCAGTGACCGACCAGCGAGTTTTGTTTTTAATTTTTTGCAATGACTGTATGGCTGGCAGGAAAAAAGGATGTGAAACGTGTGAGTAAAAAGTTAAATATTAAGAAAAATTGCAGTTAAGGTCAACTTTTAAAAAACTGTATGCTTGACCTCTTCCGACAAACTGAATAAAGACGCTTGACAATTTTTTTAAACATCCAGGAAACGATTCTTTTTTCTCATTCCATTAAAAACATTTGCATTAAAAACATGCCCAGTATTTACAAGTGTTTTTTAATATATATTCCCCCTACCTATCACAAGTATCAGGCCATTTCAATCTTGAGACGGGAAAGGGCATGCAAAGTTTAGTGGTATACTTGGGAAGCATCCAATGGTATAATTAGGAAGATCTGGACAAAAAAGAAATGTTTTGGAATTTGGAAAAATCGTTTCATTTCAAAAGGTACATATCTTGTTTATCGAGCATTTTTTAGCATAGGGTATTGGTTATATTTTTAAGGAAAAATTTTTAAGGAAAAATGTTCGAAGACATTTGCGTATTAAAGGTACTTGGACACAGATTTGAAGTTATTATTTTCTCTATAATATTACGACTTATATATTTTAATAGCATTTCACACAAAAATTAATTAAAAATCTTATTTCGTTTAAAAGATATTGAAATTTCAAATTTTTGGGCGGGTTTGATTGACATATCCTTGCACTCTCACAAATTTAATTTTATTCTTAATCCTTAGGAAAAGTGGCAATCTCGTTTTGTATAAATGAAAAATATAAATACTATAATCCAGAAAATTCAGAGTAGACACGTTCGAAAGCAAAACAAACACACAATATATTGTCAGTCCGTGCAGTTGTGGTAAGCAGACTGTGACGATTGAACGCACCCGGTGAATTCTAAATATAAACAATAACAGAACTCGAACCCTGTTTACAAAAACTGTGTACATAACACGAGTGTGCACGATTTGCTAAACTCTGTACGCATCTCTTAGTTCGGAATGACGATACTTGTGAAGGTGTTTTGCTTTCTAACATTTCTACTCTGAATAAAATTATTTTTCTTGATAAAAGTTTTAATATTTCTCATTAAAACACATCAAAATTGCCACTTTTCCAAAGGATTGAGAATAATGTTAAAATTTGTGAAAGTGCAAGGATGTGTCAATCAAACCCGCCAAAAAATTTAAAGTTTTAATAACTTTTAAATGAAATAAGATTTTTAATTAATTTTTGTGTGAAATGCTATTAAAATATATAATTCGTGATATTATACAGAAAAAAATGAGAAAATATTAACTTCAAATCTGTGTCCAAGTACCTTTAAAGAACTTCACTGTTGTTAATTACATAGAAAAAAATACACGCTAATGCTTTTAAATCTGTTTTTGTAAAAAACTTTATATAATTTCAAATTATATCATTTATTTACTCACGATTTTTACCTATTCCACCTAAATTAAAGGACAGATCACTCTCATTGCATTAAGCTGACATCGAGTTAGACGCTTTAACTGAGGCTGGAGTCAAGAGGGAGAAATGATATAACATTTCAGTGCAAAAACTTCAAAATTTTTTTAGATGTCGCTTGGAAATAGAAGTTATACATACAAACAGAATGTATAATTTTTTACCTTGATCTTGACTTTTTGTTTTAAAAATCGACAGTGGTCTTCTAAAGGTCACTGGGAGTCAATGGGAGTTGTGGAAAAAAATGTTTTAGCAAAGGTTCGAAGGCTTTTCGAGGTATCGAGCGGAAATGAAAGTGTTAAGACAGACAGAATTTATGACCTCAGATCTTTTGACCTCAAAATCAATTATAAGGGTCTTATTTAACTTAAAGGGAGTTTTTATGTAATTTTTATTGCAAAGGCTCCAAGGCCTCTCGAGATATCGCGCAAAAGTTACAGACTGACGGGAAAGACAGGCCGAACAAAGGACGGACGGACAAACAGACAGACACGAATTTAAAAATATCCCACTTTTTCAGTAAAAGCGGGTGACAATAAGAAAAAATAATAATAATGAAATATATAATTATGTCTCTGATGACGCTTTTCCTCACAAGGACAATGAACAATGCGTTAGATATATTTAAAAAAGGTCGAACACATTTTATCGCAGTTTTCCCCAAAAGTTGTCCTACTCTAATATTCTCCCGTATTATCCAGAATTTAGTATCTGTGATTAAATTCAAGGTGAAAATATAAAAACGAAAAAGTGAAACACCTCAAAATGTATATAAGGTAGTCATATAAAATATCCCTTAGGGTTACGATGTTAGAGAAAGACATACAAAGGATCACTTCATTATAAATAGGGATCTGACCTATAGGACCGGGCTTGGTTTTTTTCTCTACAAAACGCTTGTCGATTTCCGTTCCAATTAATGACATTAGGCTGAGTACATAAAATAATTTGTTTTTCCTAAATATTTATTTCAGTGAGTAGAGGTAGGAGGAACCCTTTCATTGATTTTCTGAGTTTGTTATTTCTAAATGTAATAATTGATATTTGTCTTTACTTCTCATTGTGCATAAAGGTAATGTCTACTGTCTCTGAAATTCTATTGTTTATGTCTAGGCTATTTATCTTTGGATATAATAAAACATGTCATTAATGTGTGCAAATTATATAGGTCTAAATGAAATCCAAGGGAGTGCATTTACTGAAATATGTAGCCAAAATCAATGTGATTAAATTCTAAACAATATATACAATTGAAATTCATCGCAGCTCAATGCTGCCAAGCATACCTGTATTGAGTAACACATAGTGAGTTATTCTTGTCCTCGGAGAAGGTGTGCTATAAAACAGATTCGTTCCACCTGACTGACAACTGTACATTGGATTGTTATGATTTGATATCTCTTTAGTGTTTCTTATATCAAGAATGGGCATGCATAAAGGATAGATAATTGAAGGAAAAATACACAAGTCTATAAAGAAATTAAAATAGTCTTTGAAAGAGTGAAATTTAAAACCTTTAAAGTGTTGTACCGGGTGGATTCGAACCCCCTGACTTCAAAAAGGAAGTATCCAAGGTGTAAAAGTCTGCGAGTATATCAACTGAGCTAGTCTGACTATAAGAATGAAAGACATAAATTTAAAGCAGATTATGAAAGTCGGGTTTCCTTAGTTTTGTAGGTTTTTTGTGAATTTTGACACCAGGGCAGGGGTGCCCCTAAAAAATCTTATCTTAAATTATTCCTTACATCCTAACCTATCAAAATATCACAATTTCATTTAGGGGCAGGCCTGCCCTGAAGGACTTCAAGGCCAAAATTCATGCAAAAATCAACGCTTTAAGGGGGATGTACGGCCACTTTTAGTGCAGTGAGAGCAAAATGTAAACATTTCTTCAAATGGCTAAAATACATTATATTTTGATCAAATTTTAAGTCTTTTTGATAAAGATACAATAAATATGCATAACCGAATGCATGTTGTGCATATATAATCTATACTTTTGCAGAAAAATGTTTTTGATATGCTCCTTAGAACTGCGCAGCTACAGAATTCAGCAGAGCCTTAAAAAATCCAAAAAAATATGCAAACTATGCATTAATGTTCTCTCTACAACCATTTGTTGAGAAAATGTCTAAATTTTGCACTTTTAAATGATAATTTCAAGTTCAAAACAAGGTACCATTGTCTTCAAAAAGATTGTAAAGAACCATGAAAGTAGTTCATGGATAGCAGCACGTGGTCTATTTTTAGCACAGAATCTTGTTTTCCAGACCTCTTCTTAATATGGAGGGGCATAACAATCTTTAAATGTAGAAGAGAATTACAGTTGCAAAATATTTCAAATAATATGAACACTTTTAAAAGAGGAAAGGTGTTATAGTGTGGCTTGAAGTAATTTATTTAGTTTGAACATAAATTTTTTTTTCTATTTGCCCATATTTTCAAAATTACAATTGTACAAAGTAAAGAGAAAAAATCAACCTATAAACATCTTTAAAATGATGTTTGGTGGTCCTCCCAACTCAGGGAAAAATTATTGGGTCCGTATTTATAGGTGAGAAAAAAAATCCTTAAAATTTAAACAGAATTGTTTACGGAAGAAAAAGAAAAAAATATCGTGTAATGGAATGTTTAAAAAATGAGTCGGGCCATTTCTAGGCAGTAGATCGGGAGAGAGGGCAACCAAATATTTTTATAACAAGTGGTATTATAAGGCTAGTACATGTTCCATCACATACTTAGTAATGCAATTTTTTTTAATCTTTGACACTATTTTGAAAAACAAACAAAGGATTTTCGGGGGGAGGGGGGGGGGTTATACTCACTTTTTTGCGATGATAGACATAGCATATGCAATGGACCTTTCATTGCAAACATTGTGCTCGCTTCTAAATTTCACAGAAACAATTCATTATATTTTATCAAGCTTCGTATGTTCAATGAGCGAGAGCTTACAACGTTGTCAACATAATGAGACATGATGCGTTTTTGTGTCCAAACATGACCCCATACAATGTGTGGGTCATTGCAAACATTCTAGCTATTTATGTGAGGTGCCTGAAGGAAATCCTATAACTGCCTATTTTTTCTATCTAACTTATAAACAAAATAGACATATGTACCAACTTTTCGAATGTAAGACATGTAATTACAATTTATTTTTCATGCACTGCGTATTGTTTAACATTTTCAAATTAAATGCTAAGCATCCTCCTTGCAGTGCCCCATTTGAAAATAACTTCTATCGCCACAGAAAAAAGACCCACCGTAAACACATATGTTTAGGACATTTTTATCTTTTTTTCTTGAGTTTTAAAGAAACCAACAAATTATCAAGACTTGTTCCATAAAAATTAAATATAATCATGGTAATAAACGGATTTATCCACAGCAGATATATGCACATGCCAACCATGTGCTTAGTGGAATAATATTAACGAGGAATTTCGAGTTGTAAACAGAACAGTTTTTCCCGATTTGCTGGAGTGAGGTTAAAATCGCGTTTTTTCATTAATCAGACGATGCGATGCAACAAATAAAAGTAGTAAGTAATATAACCTAATGATTATTACTTAGTAATTTCTTGTCTTGGTGTTATTATGGTTGCATTTATTCTAAAATCATTGTTATTCGAACTCTGTGTGACAGAGGAATGGCGGACGAAATAAACACATGGCCTCAGGAAGACACCCATATGAAAAATCAAATTTTCAAGAATTATGGATAATGACAAGAAAAAAACGAAACAAATGGTTGTAGCCATATTATCAATGAATCAAACTAAATCCATTTTCAATGCATTTTTCATCTCATGAATGCTGTAGCTGCGCAGTTCTAACATGATTAATTTTCTTCTAATTAAGACAAAATAAACTTAATTGTTTACTAATTTTGGTCTCTAACAGTAGGTAATTAGTGCATTAGCACTTTGAGTAACTTTGAGCTAGTTTAGTAGAGTATTAAGCGCATTCTTGGTATTTCTTAGTTTACACCAGACTAGATCCAATATGGCTTGTACATCCCCCTTAACGGACAAAATGGTGTTTCAGTCAACTTTGGAGGTTTATTGTAAAGTTGTAAATAATAAATTTTAGGTATAAAATACAAATTTGAAAAATTTAGACATATATACGGTAGAAAAAAACAAATAAAGATTGATTTTTCAATGTCGCTTTTTCCGGGAAATTGTTCTCTCTTATAGGTCAGTTCTTTTGTTAAAGTGAATACATGCTTTTCACAAGAACACTTTGCAAATACGTTCAGTTGATTATCCCCTTGCATCTATGTAGCTGCTGTCCAAACAACAGAAATAGCAATGTCAACATTGGTCACAACATCAACAACAACACCATCACCAACGACATCAATAACAGCAGCAGCAGCAAAAATAGCGGGAGTATCATCAACATCACCAACATCTGAGACAACAGCAGTAATAACAACTTCAAAAGCAACAGCACTAACAGCAACAGCAGCAACAACCTCATTCGCTGGCAAAATGTGTACATGCACTTGTATTGAGACAAATAACAACCATGTCTAAATCAATTCAGGAGCGTAGATCATTACTTCACCTTAGGAAAAAAGAACTGTCCTCAGCCAAAAGAAAGCTTATCTCAGCAACTGACCAGAGACAATCTTCAAAAAGAATCTGTTATGCTGGCATCTTTGCCTTAAGTTTTACTTTTGGAGGAATTGTATTTTTTGATTATTTGAACTTGTTTTGGTATTTGAAGAGAAAATGATTCTAATTCAGAATGATTAAATATGGTCCAAAACTTAAGCATTCATTTTTTGAACGCACATCAAACGCATATCGATTCTCTGTCAAATAATGGTAAATATTATGTCAATAGGAGCTGAAGCTGTTGCAATGGCTCTTCAATTAATTGTAACTTATCAGAAGAAAAATTCAGGAATTTTGAAATATACGAATTCGCATTTGCAGTGTATATATATATATATATATATATATATATATATATATATATATATATATATATATATATATATATATATATATATATATATATATATATATATATATATATATATATATATAATTATTGGATCATCATTTTTTAAAGATTTATAGTCTCATAAATGCAATGGTGTGTGCAAAAAAAAAAAAAAAAAAAAAAAAAAAATTCATAACGCTTTAACGCGCGTTACTCATTTTGTATGCACACACCGTTACAGGTATGAGACGATATCTTTAAAAAATAATGATTTTAACAATACTGAATTGTTTTGAGTTTAACATTTTTTTTTGGTGCATTAAAGGGACGTGTTATATAATCTGTTATAAAAGATTACATCATAATTTATATGATTCACATTCTTTTAAAGGGAATTTTGAAATTGAAAAAAAAAAACAATGTTGGCTTTGAGGACTACACGGATTACATAACATATATTGATCCACCAAATGGCATGTATGCATGAACATTATAAAATAATGCATTTTGAATGAGATTGTAAATACACTGGTTTAAGTTGTGAAATCATTTTTTGAATTTCTGATATCATAATTTTGTTAGATCATTCATTTGATTAGAAATTTAATGGAGAAATAGACGAATTCAGTCATCTTTTGGCATTTATGTAGGTAAGTGGGCGTTGCTCAAAGTTTATTCTTCAAAATAATTTTCGATTACAAAACTA